AGGGGTTTAGTGTTTAGGGGTTTAGCAGTAGGATTTTGGAGCGTTTTACTGTCTTAGGGCTTTTCCGGGTTTGCCGTGTCTTCGTAGCTTCATGGAGATAGCTGGAGAAGTGCTATGTTCCTTACAGGCCTAAGCCGAGCAGTTGTGTCTCCCGGCAACACATAGACAGATAACATCCAGAGCAATCGCAGCAAGCCGCGGAAAAGTAACGACCACAAAGACAACGACTGCGACACAGCCGGTACTACTGGTGAAGGCTTGCCGGCCTGGTGCGGGGTCTTCGAAAAGAGGCATCAGGCTTGCCCCACCACCCCCACTTCCCGAAGACTTCGCCAAGAAGAGATTCACGGAACTACCGAGGTTCCCCTCAACTAAGACTCCAACATAGGAGAGTCATGTTGTCGCAGCCCAGGCCGCTCGTCCTCAGGAGTCATCTGACTTGAGGCAAGCTGAACTCTGCGTTTAGGAGTTGAAGGCTGCTGGAAGTTCGTTTCGGGTATGGTAGTGGGCAGTGGGCCAGGATTACAGGAGTCGGAAGACGTCATGCGCACCAGGTTGTACCAAAGCAGAGAGAAGCTGCTGAAGGTCAGCTGTTTAGGGGCAATATCTTAACCGTGTGCCCCGGGCCTCCGGAGAGCCTGAACCGGAACCACAGGGCTGTACAGAGGCTCCGAATCTATCACAACATCTTCGGAAGCCCAAGCGAAGCGTCCTCATCGGATTCTTCGAGATATTGCCTGAAAAAGGCTGACGATGGCTGACGAAGTGTCGCATCAACCCTGTAGGCTGCGTGATTTCTGCGCTGGACCCCACACCGACAAATACACAAACCCTCTGTCCGAGGTGACAGGTTCCATCATGGACATGCATTCTTTTGCCAGCACAGCACAACTCAGTCCTGCCAGGACAACATCGTGGCATCTTGCTGCCAGGTAGCTATCCAAGAATTCCGCACAAGCCTGCGAGATGCAGCTGGAGGTCGGCAGCCTGGCGCTCATCAAAGCGAAAAGCAACGAATGATGACGATGATGACGTGATGATAATGATGAAGATGATGACGATGGTGGTG